TCGCGTTCGGTGCGAGGAATGCAATAAGGAAATCGACAGTGATTATAAGGAGGTGCATTCTCGATTGGTTCACAATGGTAAAAAAGTAAAATGTCATCCAGTGATGGAATCATCGGATTCATCCCAGTCGAAAATCAGTACTTTCTTTGTAAAAAGTAACATGACAACCAAGGACGATGATAACCTTATCTTATAAATGAAATGGCTGGGGACGACATATTTCTTTTTATATCACGTTCGTCAATCTTCAAATGAAAGCCTTTCATTTGTAGTCTTCTTAGATTATATCATTTTATGATGACGTCATGAAATCTATGACGTCATGTCATTCGGGCAAATTCAGCCCAGCCCCCCCGAAAAAAATGTGCCCGTACGCCTATGCACATCGGTAACGAAGGGAAAACTTTTAACTCTTCTTGCAATACTGATCATCGTCGAAATAACTTTGGGAATGATGACTATAAACGAATTTATCCCCTTCCAATTGTATGCTCTAATTCTTTGTATTCTTCTCATTCCTGCAATGTTATTTATCAACTACAAACTGTTTCTAGTCGTCAGGAAAAGTCGTAAAAACAAAAGAATATCTCCCGACATGAAAAAGTCGTTTTCTTTGAAAAACATATCGAGTTGTTTGCTAGCAGTCGCTTGTGTTGCGGTGGTTTCCATTCCAATATTCGTCTACATTGGATTAAGAATAAACTCGCCAGAGACAACATATACTTTGGATAATGCAACCCTTGCAGGGAGTGGGCTAAAACCATATCTTTGATGAATTGTACATTTAACTGTTTAATCTTTTACTGGAAAAACAAGGTGTTACGTACCGAAGGATTGAAAGTTCTGAAAAGCATGAAAATATGTCGACGGGTTGAATCCTAGCTGCATTAATAACCCTTCTTCAAAAAAAATTAAAGCTATAGAAGGAAACTCATTAACAATATCTTGGCCATAGTAAACGTGAACACAACGAACTATACACTTATATTGTTCTATATATTAATACGCATATCATCATCACTATAAGAAAGACGGTAGCTGTAACTAGAGTATATAAGGTACTGTTACAGTATGCTTGATTTCATCCATTCCTGAAGATAACTAAAATATAGTCGAATAAAACGTAGAAAAATAAAATGCTTTCATTTCTTTAAATTATTTCATTACATCCAGGGTGTATAAAACATTTGCCATGTTCTTGTGCTTTAAGTCATGGATACGTAGATTTAATTTTCCCATTCTAATAAAGATTAGGCTTTTAGATTTCGTTTTAAGATTTTTTGTATCATTGCCTTAAAAATGAATCTTTGTGATAGTTTGTTTCTTGAGGTCACTCAGTCATGCGGCACTTCAAAAAAAAAAAAAAATAGCTGGTTTGTACATGGGACGTCCATTATGGACTAAAACTATTTAAATTCCCTATTTACCGTTTCGGTACGTCCATGATAAAATTGCCTTGTTGAAGCTGTTTCATACGTAGCAGCCACTCTAAATAAAGCATATGTGGAAATCGAATGAATCGATCAATTATTGAATAAATCAATCGATCAATCAATCAATAACCAACCTTATTATTAGCATGACAAAATTACTGGATGCTGCTTGGTTGAGAGGAGTACAATTGTTTCATTAATAATTGTACTGCAGTACAATTAATGATTTTCCCAAAACAAACAAAATGGCGGTATTTATTAAACACAAATGAAATTGCCCTAGAGGAACTTAAAGCAAAACACAGTTAATAAAATGCATGGTTTGGTGACTCGGCGAAAATAAAATACAGCTCATTATCCATGTTTGTGTAGGTTTATGCAAAAATATGGGTCCTATCTCGTCACGGGTGTATTGTATTTTTTCGAAATCAACCAATAGTAATGTGTAGGTTGACCAATTGTTTCAGTTACGGATGAACAGCTGAGTTCGAACATTTTTTTAAAATTTTTTTTTTTTTAATTTTTTTTTTACAAGATTCGCCAAACATAACAGACATAAATAAAACTAATACTTTACAAAATTTACATACAATTCGGGCAGAGACTAGCCACAGAGGTAATCTCCAATTATGGGGTCCTTACATTCAGCTATTGGTTGTTTACGGTAAAATGCAATACACACGTGACGAGAACGGAACCACTTTTTGCACAAACGAGGACAATAACATAGATTATATTGTATTGAGTTGTATTGTGATGTAAGTGAGCTTCCCAAAACGAACAAAAGCACCAAATTTTGGTTGAAAGTCTGACAGGACTGGGCTTTGGCGAGAGAATATGATGTCGACATTGGGAATTATCCAATTTTGTCATGCTAATAATAAACAAGTAATCATGCGATGTTGCTCGTACAATAATTGTATTCGCCATCGCATGATTACCTATACAAATCAATTAATCAATTAATATTAACTAACAAGAACAACATATACCTTTTATGTAATTTGTAGTCAGCCAGTTGAATAGCCATTTGAACGTACGTATCTGGATGGAGTCTATGTTGTTTGATAAATGCTTTGCCATATTCTTTCCACAGAAAACTTCTTATTCCAATATTTGATGACTAATTCAGAAAGAAAAAATATTGAGATGCTCTAAATACGCATTCGTGAACTTTTCTTTTATTTTAGGAAAATGATTGTAAAACTACCCAGGAAACTCGGGAAAAAATCTCAATATTTTCCCCTCACATAAAATAGGTCAAGAAAAGTTGCTTGCTTGCATGCACGGGTTTTCAGAAAAGAAAACCAACAGAAAAGAAAAACAACAGAATGGAAAACAAAGTATATGTTAATTAAAGGAAGAGGTCATTTTTCATTAAGCATTAATTAAAAAGAAACTAACAGGACTATGAAGAATTCTCTTGAACCAAGTATTGTGTGAACGCATAAAGCAAATTGTTTTTGGCAAGTTAAGTTTGAAAACAATGAAAAAGTTATTGTGCCTACCATTTTCTCAAACTGGAGTGTAGCAGTTTTAATGGATCGATGTGAACGATCATCAAGTCTAAAATCAAGTTCCACAGGCTTTGCAACACTAACTTTTGAAACTTTCATATCTTCACTCTGGAAAAATAAAAGGACAGCATGTCATATTAGCTGTACTTTTCAGTAATTTGCATTGCATTTTCTGTTCACTTACGATCTGAAATAGGAGCGGCGCATGGGGACGATTCCCGAATGGAGCATTCAAAAATTACAGCAAGTGATTTGACTCGTATAGAAAACAGAGCTAGGCCAACAACATATACCAACAACAAATCATCCCAGAGCTAGGCCAACAACATATATACCAACAACAAATCATCCCAGAGCTAGGCCAACAACATATATACCAACAACAAATCATCCCAGAGCTAGGCCAACAACATATATACCAACAACAAATCATCCCAGAGCTAGGCCAACAACATACCAACAACAAATCATCCCAGGCTAGGCCAACAACAACAAATCGTTTACCTGTGTTCGCCTACTCCAATATTCCTTCACGTTACCAATAGCTTTAAAAACAGTAGTAATTTGAATAATCGCATCAAACGCTAGATGCTGCATGGAGAAATAATCAAATATAAAAATGAATGATCAATAAATATATACATTTATTATATGGCAAGCATTTGTTTTGATGAATCGCGCAATTTGATTGGCTGCTGACGAGGCAGGATTTTCCCGTATTGCCCACGGGCAATACGCAATTTTTATTGCCCTGCGACGAGAGCCGAGTTTCAAACAGCAAAAAGTGTCTAAAAGTCTTTCAAAACTATTCAAAACGAAGAAAAATAAACCTAAAATAAAAAGAGGAGCAACTGCTGTGGTTAAAGAACTTTCTCCATACGTTTTTGTTAGCGAAAGTCAAAATTACAAGGTAAATTTTACAATGTTTATAACTATAAAAGCAGTCAGGAATAGTTGTGTTTTGACTATGTGAAGAGCTGCAAATTTTATTTGCAGATAGCCAGGAGGAATTTGACACGTAAATAAAAAATATACACGACTAAAGCAGCCACAGATTTATAATTTTTCCCTGAAAATTTCTGTTTTTGTTAGATAAAAAGAGACATAAATATGAGATGAAGCGAACTAAAAACGTTCTTGTTTTTGTAATTTTATTGAATTTTATTGTTTTCATATTTGTTGTCTTTGATTAAATGACGAAATACCTTGTATTTTTCTTGAAATACTATCCAAAATGTGTTAGTATTCTATATAAAAAGTACTGTAGAGTAGTTTTACTAACCAAGAGAACATTTTTTACAATTGTTTTTTTTTTTGCAAACTGTTTCGGACTTTGTAATTTGCCCTGGCGTGACCTTTTCTTCCATTTTTTACAAACGTACAATGCCATATAATAAAAAACTTACTGACCTCAACCGTTCGGGCAGAACGTGAAAATATCCAACCTCGGTCTTGCTGTATTGACCTCGCTATCGCTCGGTCAAATACAGCAAGACCTCGGTTGGATATTTTCCCGTACTGCCCTCACTCTCGGTCAGTAAGTTATTAATATTTTCAGTGACCGATTACATCAAGTATTACACTTACTTATATTATCTATAGCCTATATGGACTATACGTACTATTTAAAGCACGCATATAGGAGTGCTTTATCAGATATAAAATACTCGTGCGCAACGACCCATCTGATGAATTGATTAGCGAAGTAATTTTAAAAATAAACGTTGTCTAAGCTGAGAAAATCAAAGCTAAATTTTATGTAAATGAATTTCATGATTTTTATCACATATAAAACCACCGACAGGCGACACGGCAGCGGTTTCCTTTTCTTCATGAATTATCGAGTTTTTAAATTACTTTACATACAGCAATTGTGATGTTACTTTCCTAACAAATAACTATGATTACCCTAACCATGTCACATTTCCCTGTGTGTGAAGTAAGTAAGCCTCCGTAGCTTTAAAGAGGATTTTTTTGGAGCATGTGAATTATGCGGCAAGCACACAATATCACTTGTGTAAAAACTAAGAGAGCATGGAGTGCAAGCATGGCGGCGCTAGAGAGGGAAGGATGAAACACACCTGGTGTAAATAGCGAGCAACATTTGACATTTGATATAGTTAATATTAAGCTCTGTTATGGTTTATATAGAGTTTGGGTAATGGTCGAGTATCGAGGGTCATAGGTAGAGGGTCGAGGTTCGGAAGTCGAGGTCGAGGGTCAAAAGTCGAGGTCGAGGGTCAAAAGTCGAGGTCGAGGATCAAAAGTCGAGGGTCGAAAGTCGAAAATACTAAATTTTTATCCATTTTAAAAGTTTTACAACCATTAAACGCGGCGAAACAATTCATTTTGCTGTCAAAACTGAAAAATTTCGCCTATGGCTATGCCGTATGGCTATGTACTGTATAACTGAAAGTTTCGTTTGTGTAACTAAAAGTCTGATGCGAGGTTTGATGTTTGAAAGCATACATTTTTTATTGTACATTGGAGTTTAAAATATACAAACACGGATCGACGATTATACAAAAATGGCGTTTCACTCTCATGAGAAACTGATTATAGCCTTTAGGTATATCTCTTGGACTTGGAGGCGAAAGAGTTCTGAAATTCTCAGAACTTCAACTTAACGATACTCTTCAAACCGCGTATGGTTTTGGAGGTTTAAAGCGTTAGGGTGTGCGAGAAACAGTTGAAATTTATATATTTTATAACATCGTGTTTACATGTCTGCACCGGAAGTGCACATGTTCGATTGACAGTTTCATATTCATAATATAGTTGCGAGAACATTGTAGTGTAATAAAATGGAAACTTTCTTTAGTTATTCTGTCAAAAATAACATGCACGAAGCACGAATCTTTATAACAGGGTGATTTTAGTTCGGTTCAGAATTATCTCACGACCATTGTGAGAGATTTTTGCTGCGCTGGAACCCGATTCGTTCTGATAGTACAATAAATACAATATATTTTCGAATCACCCCACCGGCACCGTACGTTCTCGAATAGTTTTAGTAATTTTACACTTTCTCGAAAAACAAAAAGGAACCTAATTATGCCCTAAGGCATGTTCTGTACTAACAGTAATAAAGTTAGTTATCGACAGGAGAACCTTTAAAATTTTGACAACAAATGCCAAAAATGTAGTATTCTGGAAATGTTTAATAAAAAACTAATATTTCCCATTTTCAACCCTTGAATTTCGACTTTCGACCCTCGACTTCTGACCCTCGACCTCGACTTTTGACCCTCGACCTCGACTTTCGAAGCTCGACCTACTGTATGACCCTCGACCTATAACCCTCGACCTATGACCCTCGACCATTACCCAAACTCGTTTATATATATAGACATTTAAGTGATGGCATTTTTGAGTGACATTATAGGCGTTAGTTGTATCAGTATTTTTGTAAGAGAGACACGCGAGAGTAAAGAGACGGGTTAAAGGACGTATAGTTAGAGAGATTAACGTAAAGTTGTAGTCAGAGTCAAGTCCTGCAGGGATCTACCCTTCAGGTACAGATGTTTAATTGTTTTATATGTTATATTTGTAGTATTTTGTTATTAGTCAATTTTACCATGTTATGTCGCGAAAATATGATTGGAATAACTTTCATTTTGTATAGAATATATTATCTCAATAAATATTAAAAGAAATCCCTGTTCGACTCAGTAAACCAGTCAGTGCCAACCAACACCCTCCCCAGTCGTCAGATAGTCGGCCAAATATTGAAATATAAAAAATTAGTCGATAGCTGGAATCATCCATTTGTAGTCGCCTTTGTCTTAAACTAAAATCCTATTACTGATGAGCACGCACGTCTTTATTGCCGCTGTATTTGCCCATAACTCACTATTAGGTAAGGACAAGATTCTAAATCCATTTTTTCATACCTTATATATATAGTTCGCTGAAAATAAACGTCAATAAGAGAGAAAATTATTGTTATGTTGTAAAATTAATCATTGTTATTTTCAGGGTGAATTGACGGGACAAAACAGTCAATATGGTTTATAATATGTAAGATAATTATGTGCGTTATGTACAAAACACCCAATCTTGTCTTAAATGTTACTGAGAATTATGCACTAAACACTCAATATCACACTAAGAAATTTTCTTCCTGTGAGGTGGGATATGGACCACTTCCCAAAGCTAAAGAAGCCTCCTCACACACTTATACCTAATTGAGCTTCCTTTGCCGAAAATAAACGAGAGAAAACAAAGCTCATTTTAACGTGTTCTCTTGAAAGAGAATTATGCACTAAAGTCTAAACACTCAATATCACACTAAGGAATTTCCCTCCTGTAAGGTGGGATATGGACTACTTCCCAAAGCCAAAAGAGTGTCACACTATAAGGAATTTTCTTCCTGTAAGGTGGGATACGGACTACTTTCCAAAGCCAAAGTCTCTGTCATACTTTAACTAATTAAGCTTTCTTTACCGAAAATAAACAAGAGAAAACAATCTCATTTTAACGTGTTCTCTTGAAAGAGAATTATGCACTAAACACTCAATATCACACTAAGAAATTTTCTTCCTGTGGGATATGGACCACTTCCCAAAGCTAAAGAAGCCTCCTCACACACTTATACCTAATTGAGCTTCCTTTGCCGAAAATAAACGAGAGAAAACAAAGCTCATTTTAACGTGTTCTCTTGAAAGAGAATTATGCACTAAAGTCTAAACACTCAATATCACACTAAGGAATTTCCCTCCTGTAAGGTGGGATATGGACTACTTCCCAAAGCCAAAAGAGTGTCACACTATAAGGAATTTTCTTCCTGTAAGGTGGGATACGGACTACTTTCCAAAGCCAAAGTCTCTGTCATACTTTAACTAATTAAGCTTTCTTTACCGAAAATAAACAAGAGAAAACAATCTCATTTTAACGTGTTCTCTTGAAAGAGAATTATGCACTAAACACTCAATATCACACTAAGAAATTTTCTTCCTGTGGGATATGGACCACTTCCCAAAGCTAAAGAAGCCTCCTCACACACTTATACCTAATTGAGCTTCCTTTGCCGAAAATAAACGAGAGAAAACAAAGCTCATTTTAACGTGTTCTCTTGAAAGAGAATTATGCACTAAAGTCTAAACACTCAATATCACACTAAGGAATTTTCCTCCTGTAAGGTGGGATATGGAATACTTCCCAAAGCCAAAGAAGCCTCTCTCACACTTTACTTGAGCTTCCTTTGCCGAAAATAAACGAGAGAAAACAAAGCTCATTTTAACGTGTTCTCTAATTGAAAGAGAATTATGCACTAAATACTCAATATAACACTAAGGAATTTTCTTCCTGCAATTTGGTGGGATATGCACTACTTCCCACAGCCAAAGAAGCCTGGTCATACTTTAACTAATTGTCTGCGCTTCCTTTCCGAAAAAGAAGCACAACAAAGCTCATTTTGATGTGTTATCTTGAAAGAATGTGAACTAAGGAAAAAACACTCAATACACTATGAATTTCTGGGAGCTACAACACCAAAATGGTGTAATCATTGCAGCTCTGTGGACACTGATTTTTGTGTTAGGAAAACACCAAGTACGCTCATCAATCGTGATATTTATAACCAATAAGTACATTGAAACACCTATATACCCTTACTGCATGTGTGTAAATAGTAAGACTGTTCAGTGCATGTATTTGGTATTTCCCTAACACAAAATGGCGCTAACATTTACACTAGATCAGTGCACAAATTTTAGTATTTTAATGATTACACCATATTAGGTACAACAAAGAATCCTCTGTCATGTAATTGAACTTCCTACATCTGTAATTCACATTTTGTAAATCTTCGAAACAACACAGGTCGTTTGTATTAGAAAAGAACAGAGTAACCAAAATCATTTATTCATACCTTAATTTGCGAAAAATAAACAAGGGAAAAAATATATGCAAAGCTCATTTTAACGTGCTTTCCAGAAAGAAGAATGTGAATTATGCACTCAATACAACACTAAAGAATTTTCTACCTGCAAAGTGGGATATGCACAACTTCCCACAGAACCAAGGAAGCCTCTGCCATACCTATATGGTCACACTTCGAGTAAATGAGTCACACTTTAAGTAAATGAGCTTCCTTTGCGGAAAATAAAGGAGAAAACAAGCTCATTTTAACGTGTTCCCTTGAAAGAAGAATGTGAATTATGCACTAAACACTCAACATAACACTGAGGAATGTTCTTCCTGTATGGTGGTCAGCCTCTGTCACACTTTAAATAGACCTGCCTTTATCTGTAATTCACATTTTGTATCTCATCTTCGAGACGACACAAGTCAAACAGATTCGAGTAAATAAAGATATCATGACTAGTACACATGATGACAACCTTTCTATTGAAGATGGAGACATTAAGACTTTGGTCTTATAACAGTACATCATCCTCGGGGAAATACGTGTATATGACAAACATCACTGCACCAAACAATGGTGAAATATTTATTGTAAAGGCCACTGGTAAAGCTGAAGGAATAACCTTGCCTTTCACAAATATCAAGTTCCATGTGGTAAAACAGAATCCACATAAACTGTTTTCACTGCAATTTACAAAGAATGAAATTTGGCATACAGTTAGCGCATCGAAAAATGGCGTGACAGCATATAAAGATGCTCCAACCTGGTTTCGTGTCTTGGAATTATATTCCCCAAATCGTCCTTACGTTGTGTTTGAATCCAGTGAAAAAAATGAAGATGGCGACAAGCTGTATCTGAGTAGCGACGGATCTGGAGACATGAAACTCAAAGTCTGGAATAAATCTGTTAGAGAACCTCCTAGAACGACCGGAGAAGTAGACCCTGCCCTGCTATTTCGAGTGATCGCAGGCCCTTAGGAGTGTAGTAACGTGTCAGTTTATAAACGTATAATTACATTTTTTTGAATATATATTCTTAAGATTGTGTAACTTGTATGTGTTTCATATATTATAATCAATTTTGTAACTCTAATTATAATAATTTTCATTTTGAATAATAATTGTAATTGTGAACCGCATTTATAATTCTTGAGAAAAGTACAAAGGAAACTACCACCGTTATAAACTACCACGGTAATAAACGCACATAAAATAACTCAATTATCGCCTGGTAATAAAATAGATAATTGGGCAACTACTGGTGTAAGGCATTGTGTAGCCTATAGAATATGGGAAGACCAAGCACTTTGCCACAAGCCTCCAGTCCAGGCTGAAAAGGCCAAATAAAAATAATAGTTGGTTTCAGGTTTCCGACCGACCTGTCAAAAATATGACCGACCATAAACATTTTATTGACAATTTCCAGTAGAGATCATCTTTTCGTAAATCGCAGAATATATAAATAGTCATCAGACTCATTTGTCTACAAATTATTTTGTTTGCTTATAATTTAATCATTATCTAGTCATCTTAATCATAGTTTTACACAAAGAACAGTTGAATAAAATATTAAAAACGTACATTATTCTGACATGGCTGAAAAAAGACGAAAACGCCTTGATGCGTAACACATGTAGCTCGCGGGTGATCCCGTGTGGCACATTTGATCACACATGACAGTTAAGCCCAGGTCACACTGCACAACGATAACGAGATAACGATACGATAACTTGTATACGCGCGCTGATTGGTCAAATATTTATCGTTATCGTTCGACTGAAAAAAAAATCGCTCGGGTGAGCGATTTTAAAATCGTTATCGTTATCGTCAAACGATAATTTTATTATTTTCGTTGTAGTATGGACACTAACACAATTTTTTTGCCAATTATCGCGTGTTTACAATTTATCGTATCGTTATCGTTGTGTAGTGTGACCGGGCCTTAACTCATAAACAATGGCGGCGCGAGAAAGTCCGGCATCGCCGATTGTTTTTGTTATTTCAAAATGTAGCCATAAGCCTGAATCCAGAGCATACATAACCTTGAATGACGGGAAACAAATAAAGGACATATTGTGGGAATATAATGATAGGGTATGTTGCTGGGTGCCCATTTCAGCGGCAACATCGAATGACGCGATGAATATTGATAAAGGTCCTTGGACGAATATAGATATCAACTCCACGTTAACTTTTAGCCAGTTAAATTCCCTTACGGGTGTAAAAGCTGTGAAACTCACGCTTGAAAGTTTACGTATACGTTTGAATATAACCGGGAAAAGCCACTGAGAGATTACAGAGACGTTCTGCAGGGGTACAGGAAGAGACTGCCTCCTAAGCGCACATTTGCCAGGTGAGTGAATATAAAATTTGCATGGACATGCTGTTAATAAATATTCATTATTCATGCTAACCTATACTTATTATCGTTAGTTAAAATTCATGAACATGGTTCACTTGTATTTTTGAGCAATATAACTGTATTTGCTTTTTACAGTGCTGGAATGAAAGATCCATCTAAGTTGACTGGCAAAGATGAAATAATGTGATGATAAATTAATGTGATGTCATTAATTGCTGTTCAGCAAAGCTTGCAGAGGACTTAAGATGGTTGCCGGACCAGTCATCAACATAGTCTTTCAAAACATGGTTTGGAAACTCCGGTAAAGTCTTTGTTCTATCTTTTTGTTCGCGTTTATGCAGTTTTGTGCACTGTGCACGGTCAATGAACACATTGTATTTCAGTGTAATGAACCAATCATCCAATAGCAACCTTTCAGTTCAGTCATACAACCATGCTATTTAAATATTAATAAACCTAAAACAAAGGATGTGCACGGTGTAAGGTACGGCTCAACATAAACACACAGCTCATTATAACCGCTTTGAAGTTTACTGAGTTTCCAGACCATGTCTCGAAAGACTATGCTTCCACTGGAAGCTGTGCTTCCACTGGAGGTGTGATTGACACGGACACCACAGACTTGAACAGACCATCTGCAAAGCGATTTCCCCGAACAAAGGATGATCGAGCAAGACAAGTAGATTACTTTTTGATTGATGATCAGGTACAGTACAGTACAGTGACAGTGTATGTTTGTTTATTACTCATGTAGCTATAAAGGCATTGAACGGTTATATCACAATGGCGTAAATTAATTGAGATGTACTGTATCTACTTTACCATTTATTAGGAGGAACTACGAAAAAAACCTTCAAATTTTACAGCTCAGCATGCAAGAATGACAGTTGATTGTGCAGAGTGTGGGAAACCAAGAGTAATCTTCAGTAAAAACAGATGATCTGAACGACAGCAGATAACCATTCTCACTGGATTGGAAGAATATACATGCAGTGGGCATATCCTACCGCCGGATAAGCCCCTGCACAAAAGTGTGGATGTCAAGCTGTCAGTAAATTGCGGTGATCCTGTAGAGTTGGCATACTACAGTTCCAAGCTGATATTTTCAGGGCTGATATTTGTTGCCATTGTGGCGGAACGGGTGCAACCCAAAACAATGCTTTAAAGGAAAAATTCAAAACAGTTTTGCCTATGTGTGCATATTGCATAAAAAATGGGCTTCTGCCCATAACTGCTAGACCATTTGGCAAGAAGTAGTGAAGATGTCAGGAATTTAAACGATATTTAGTTGTTGTTCGTTGCCTTGCATGTCAAGTTTTATATCTATGCAGGTGAAAACCTGATGTAAAAACAATAAAAACTAAGAGTTTATAATTTTTTAACTTATATTTATTGCATACTGGGGATAAAATATTTTTTTTAAATAAAATGTTTTTCCGACCTACCTACCCATATAAAACATGGCTGTGAAACCTGAAACCAACTATTTATTTTTTTTGGCCAAAGGGGGGCCCAAAGCAACGAAGGCCCTTTCAATTTTTTGATACAAGATTACTTAGGGACGGACCATTAGAAAAGTGATGGGGGTTCGTCCCTCGTCGCTTCAGTTGGGAATAGAGATCAGTGGAAAAACAATGGGAGCGCGGGGCTTAATGGGAATGCGATAGAATCTGAAGCATAGATATAGGAGATCTAGATTGCTAACGCATACCTAGCGCAGGCGGGGCCTACATGATAAATCCAAGATGGCGGTACAACAGGGCAAAAAGACTATAGATTCTATTACGAAAATCAGGATTTTTGCATTTTTTGCCGTCGCATTGTTTCGAAACTTATTCGGTCAAATTTTATGGTAAAGAGAAACTTACCGCGAAGATTTTGAGCATATATATGATTGAATTGGATGAAAACTCGCAAAATTATCCAGCGATAAAAGTTCGTGTATAGTACTGATATAGTACTATATATGTAACTTGTACAGTTTTGCTTTAATTTTTGCTCACTATTTGCATAAAAAGCAAATTATAACAGACCATAGATGATAGACCCTCATCCAGTGCTCTCATCAGTGTACTTATCTAACAAGCAAGGAGGGGGGGGGGGACATAACAGTTCATTTTTCATAATAATGAGGACAGAGCAGATCATGATGAGAGATGCAAGTATAAAACACCATTCACAAGGCTAGATGTTAAGGTCTGTTAACATAGCACAGTATTTCTGGCAATAAAACGCTCCAACTGACCAACTGACCATTTCACACGAACTTTTATCGCAGGATAATTTTGCGAATTTTCATCCAATTCAATCATATATATGCTCAAAATCTTCGCGGTAAGTTTCTCTTTACCATAAAATTTGACCGAATAAGGCCTGGTTTATACAGCGTGCTATGAGCGAACCGAATCAATTTTTAAATTAGCACGGCCAAGCACGGTATTAGCACGCATTTTGATTTATACGTAACGTATCTGAGCCAATTTTTAAAGTTGAGATAAAGAGTCTGGTCGTAAAAGGAGCGTAACATTAATACAATATGGCGTCTCATATTGTTGCAGTATGGTTCGCTGATGGCACTGTGGTTTAAATCAAAGGCGTGCTTAACCGTGCTACGAGCGTTCGGCACGCCTTCGACGAGCGAGCCGCACGGTCAGGAGCGAACCTAATTCAGAGAGTGAACCAATTTGATTTAGACAGCGTGCTATGAGCGAACTTATTAGTTAAGTAATTGGTTCGGTGCGCTCATAGCACGCTGTATAAACCAGGCCTAAGTTTCGAAACAATGCGACGGCAAAAAATGCAAAAATCCCGATTTTCGTAATAGAATCTATAGTCTTTTTGCCCTGTTGTACCGCCATCTTGGATTTATCATGTAGGCCCCGCCTGCGCTAGGTATGCGTTAGCAATCTAGATCTCCTATATCTATGATCTGAAGTCTCTGAATCCTCAAATTAACGCGACCGCGCGTACGGATAACGGATGAGGGACTGTGGAAGAGTCAGGGGGGGGGGGTTTCTAAGAGGCAATATATTTTTTTTGTACACCTATAGAAGAATTTTTTTTTTCTCACTTGATGGCTGGAAATATGTTTTTAAGTGAAATTTATAGGCCTATCTTCCAAGCTAGGAATTTGTTTTGCACTATGCCTGGGAAGATTTTTTTCCCCTAATTTTTTTTCTGGGAATAAATTTTGTTTTGGTTTTGCCCCCATCACTTTTCTAATGGTCCGTCCCTTAACTAAGAATATAAATCCTAGCTGCACTAGTGCCGGATGTCAAACACCGCTTCTCCCGTTTTACAATTATAACGTCATAGGGTTACCCCAGGACCCGCGCAACCTCTTGGCGGCCCTGGGAAAGACCAGTATAAAAAAGTATTATTCTTTACTCCGACTAGTTGTGGTGAATATATGTAAAAAAATAGGTACGCACTGCGTACATGTGGCTAGCCTATTCAGCCTGTCAAATACAGCTGGAGTTCACATTGTCATAAACATTCATCACAAACATTCATTGTGATACAAAATTAATAATACAAAATAAAACAGATGCAGTATCTTTCTTACAATGCCAACAAATGGCTACAATCACTCGATTTAAAAGCAATGGTTTGTAGCAATGGTTCAGCCAACAATATTAGACAGATTTAGATCGAGGACGCGAACGTCAAAGACGACGTGAAAATGGCGTCAATATGGCGTGGCATATCCATACATGGGCACAACACGTCATTTTCACGTCGTCTTTGACGTCCACGTCCTCGATCTAAATCTGTCTATTATCGAGTCGCACTTTAAGCATATTATTTAATAGTATTCAGCAACTAATGATGTCACTTTTATTGTTTTTCAAAATTTCACTAATATGTAATTCACTAAGATTTCATTACATGCGTTTCTTGTTATAAATATATTCTGGTGTCTGGTTTACAAGTTATTAGCTTTTCTTGAATTGTTGGCATTGCAGATTTCATAAACCTTTAACCCATTAAGCTGCAGAGCTTTCCCACTGACAAGTAAAATGGTTTGGCATTAAACAAGTAAAAATGTAGGGTGCAATGGGTAAATTCAAAGTTCTTCATTAATATAATATTTAATACTAGATTTCTAAACATTTGTATTTATTGTAAGATCTAAAAGCATCGTAATTTATAAATGATTAATG